AATAAGTTTTTGTTGAAAAATGTATGATTTATTTCTTCGTTAAACTGTGAAATGAAATGTGCCAAACTAATACCTTCTAAGGGTTCGTTTACGGTTCTTGGCTAGGTATCATGTAAATAAGTAGATACATAATTTAGGAATATGCTTAAAGATACACTTAGGTAAGCTTTTCAGTGTTAATAAATCATACAACAAAAACTTATTTACAGTTCAAGATAGAAATTTTTCAATTATTTAGGCAAGTCATTGACTTAATTTTTTACTTCCAAATCAAATTAATTCCTGGGATTCAGTCATTTATTGTCTATTTATCAATTAAAATACGTTTCGGTGTTTTCCACCATCATCAGTTTCTATGAATATTGAAAACACCGAAACGTATTTTAATTGATAAATAGACAATAAATGACTGAAGCCCAGGAATTGATTTTGATTTGTAAATCAGAAGGTCAGACATCGAGTCCCATGATAAGTCCAAAAGTAGTAGCCTCTTTGCATCTCTCTCCAAAACGCAATCGCCCACTCAGTCATCGCTGGATATCTGCGTGCTGGCACTGGAAAACGAGCCTCTGGCATCGCCCAGACAACTATCAGGCACCGTGATGAAGTTGCACTTCTTATAACTACTCCAGCCCGAACCAACGCGCTTAAGAATGCTCTTCCTCTCGGTCTCCACCTTGCACGTCACCACAACCTCGGGTACCATCTGGTCTTCGAGCAGTGGCTGCCGGGTCTCCACCTGGAGGTTGATGCCGCTCTCCAAGCTCCTGTTACAAGACAAAGCCGGCTTGAAACCCTCCACGTCTGGTACCCGAACTGGACTGGACGAGGCGGGCACGAAGCCGAGCATTTTCCCAATCTCCCTCTTGACGCGTTTGTTGCGGTACCCGAAGACGAACGGCGAGATTATGTTGGAGAACACCAACAGCACCAAGGACAGATAATTGAAGTTCTGGCCAGGCTTTAAGTCAATGGAACCCGACGTGAGAATCAGATTTAGGCCGTACGGCACGTAACACACGAGCACCATGAGAATCACCAGGACACTGATTTTTGCCGCTCGCGTCTCCTCCCTGTACCTGAACACTGACGCATTGGAGATTTTGTGCTTCAGATTGACTATGAAGTTATTTCGATCGCTGTTGGTCCTTTTCACTCTGCTGCTTCGCAGGGTCTCCTGATGCACTCGAGCCATTTTGCTCGATTCCAGCGCGGAAAAGTTGGGCGCCGAGTGAACTCTCGGCAATTTTGGCAGCTCGTCCTTCTCCAGCTCGTCCATCTGGTCCAGAGGTGCTGTGGAAGATGCCGACGTACTTTTGCGCATGCGTTCGCTGTTCTGGCGGGCTGCTGTGTATATACAGACGTAGATAACACAAATCGCCAAACAGGGAACCAGAATCACGCAAATGAAGTACGAAAACGCATATGTGGTGTTGATGATTTTCATGCGGTCGCTGTCGATGACTCTCTTGGAGCAAAAGTTCCACAGACTGCCATCTGAGTAGGTGACAATGCTCAGAATCGAACACGCAATCGCCGCGAACCAGCTGCTCATTATGAACAACGAAGCTCTCACTCTGTTGACGTAAAAGTGATACCTCAGCGAGTGAATCACTCCGAAGTACTGGTTGATCCCGATCAGTAAAATGCTGAATATTGACGCCGTGCACACGAAGCTAGTGCTGGCTTGAGCAAAGTAGCACATGCTCTCCTCGTCCACTTCGGGGTCCAAGAGGACAACTTTTCCTGGAATGGTGGTCTGATGGATCTCTTCTAGGGAGCTCATGAAGTTGAGCGTGCCGTTGATGCTGATGACTTGCTGGCGGATCGTCATGTTTGATTCAATACTTTCCACAGTGGTATTGAGGCGCTGCATCTGGGTGGACACCAGCTTTTGGTCCATGACCACCAAGGGAATCAGAAGTATGCTGGATAAGAGGTTGATTATCAGCAAGTTGAGGACAAATCTGTAACAGAACAGACGACCTTGAAATATGTGAAAATTGAGCGCCGATTTAACGGTGGCAACCCAGTGAAAGTTGCTAAAAGTTAAGTGCCGGAAAGGCGCGGGGGACAACCGATAACACAATTCAAAAGCTCTACTAACTGGTCAATGAAACCATGTAATCATTATATCATTTCGCTAGAAGCAATGATTATTACCGCAGAATTCGGTGAAAACCATTATCCATGGTTTTAAAGTCGTAGCCAGGTTGCCGACGTTTGAAGCCATTTTTGAAGTGATAACTTTTCATGGGAGGGTGAACCGATTTTTCTCGGTCACGGCGACCCCCCACTCCGGCCTATTCGCGCCTGAGGCTTGGGACGCACATGCGCACTTTGAATTCGACATTTTTCTCTTAGTGCGGGTGCATCTGTAGATCTGATAAGTTTTTAAAATACACATTGCGTTATTAAGCTGACAGTGATTTTGATTTATCAATTATTGAGTGTGATATTATTGTGTTCGATGCAGTTTATTTTATAACGCTGATAACAATGAACCAACAAATTAACAAAGGAGAAGCTGCAGATACTGCAATACTAGGTAAAGGGTGTTCATGTACTAAATGCCTGTTCGAGTTTCGCCTTATTTTAAATTTCCAATTAAAGTACACACACAATTATACACACTAAAGCAGTTTAAGTGCAAAAAAATGCGGATCGTCCAACAATTTGCAGAAAAAAAAAGTGTATTACAAACTTTTGAAAATCATCTTCAAACGACCGGGTATTTATCATTGCAAATGAAATTGCACATTGCCGTGTACTGTTAAATATTGTTTTAAGAACTAACAATCGATGTTGTGCAACAAAATTGAGCCTAAGATCCACTACAATAAAGTTTTTGAAAAACTGTTGGACCTATTTTAAATCGCCTGATTGATTGTGGACGCAAATTCGCATCAAGAAAAGATTAAATTAAATTAAATCGTATCGATTGAATCCCGCTACCGATTCCCTATGTCTTACTCTCCGTCTGTAGTCCACATGCTGCCCTGATGATGTCCATTTGCATTGTATTGCACGATTCAAAGTTCCGAACTGGTAAA